ATAATTTTTTGTTAAAATTACCAACGGATTTTTTCATCGAAAAATGTTTAATAGATATTTAAATTTTTCCAAAAAATTTCAACGAATTTTATTCATTGATAACTATTTAATATTTTTTAAAATTTTACTTAAAAATTTTACCAACAAATTTTTTCCATTGGTAATTATTTCATAATTTTATATAGATCCCAACGAAACCATCATTGAAAAAGTGCGTTGATGGTTTTTGCAGTTGCATTATATGTTAATGTATCTTTATACTCTACGACAACATTAGAGCTTGAAGCATACTGTAAGCATTGTAAAAAATCTACTGCAACATTTTTTGCCCGTTGCAAAAAATAGTTTTTTCTTGTAGCGAATTTTTCCTCGGAATAGAGAATTTTTGGCGACATATATTTCTTATCGCAAAAGGTAGACCCTATTGCATCACAAACACTTTGTTGCAAAAAATGAAAGTTTGTCATCATAAATTTCCCACCAAAAATATTTTGGCGCTTTGCTTCCCTCATATTTTTGGCGACATTCTTCATTATTTGTCGCGAATTCTCACATTTCACGACAACTTTTTATGCCGCCTTATATTTTTTGGTACTTATTTTTTTAATCACAATTTTCGCAACAAACTTTAAAAATGTGTCGCGTTAAATCACTTATTGCAACAACTTTTCGCATGTCGCGAAAAAATTTGTCGCGAAATCACAATTTTGTTGTAGTGATTTTCATAATTACTGTTTGTATAACAATATAATTCTTGATATAATATAGTAAAAACTTTATTATCATCTTTTAATATTTTATTAGTCATCTTAAAATGTAGACTAAGACAATCATCTAAATTTTTATCATTTATATATACACAATATCTTGGATAACAAGTAAATTTTAATTTTTTATAGGCCAAATTTCCTTTCACTATTCCTAAATTTCCATTTTCTGCAGTTATACATCTTTCATCTTGTAGATTAAGTATTATAGGACTATTAATTCATTCTTTAAAACACGATTTTATTATTATTTGTATTCCAACAAGGTAGACATAAGATATTTTATTTTGTTTTTCTTGTTTTAATTTTCTTAAAAATTCATTAATATTTCTTTTTGTTATTAGATTTAATTTTATTTTTTCTTGTGTATGTTTAATATCTATGGCTTTTTCTATTTCATGATATTCATTAATAACTAGGGGCCCGTTCGGTAGGGATTAAAATCAGATTAAAATTGAAAAAATAGTCGTTATTGTTGACTTTTATGTGACGAGTGGGACCCAATAACGACCATATTTTCAATTTTAATTGGATTTTAATCCCTACCGAACGGGGCCTAACTTCTTTCTTCTAAAGGTTGATCCTAAAATATTAAATAATCTATTTTCTCCTGGTGGTTTTAGACTTAATTCTGCTTTATTAATTTTTCTAAATTTTTCCCAATCAAAATTTCCTTTTAAAGCGTATCATTCTACTCCTTCATAAATTTCAGTTTCTAAATCCTCTGATTTTTCAATTTCCATGATTTCTAGGGCTCTGATTCTTCAATTCTCCTAATTTCATTATTAAGAACTTTTTGAATTTTTCTTAAAGTTTCCATTTAAATGAAAATAGGTATGTTAACAAGATATCCTATATTTTCATCTAAAACCTCATCAAAGTCTATTAAAAGAAAAGTGATTTTCTTTTCAAATCTTTTCTTTATTTTAAGGCTATTTGAGTCTTTTATTTTTCCAATTAGATTTCTTGATTTATTAACAAGATGTTGAATATAACTATCAGTATCTAAATATTCAGTAGAATTGTTAACGTACCATCCTACGCAAATTTCTTTATTATCTTCCATTTTCTTATGGCTTTAAATCCTCAGAATATAGGGTTCTGATACCATTCTTTTTGTGGATCCTAAATGTAAAAATACAATTAACTCAAAAATAAAATTATTAATAAATATCAAATTTTTTGGCTCAAAATAGGTGGAAAGAGTTGACGGTGAAGAAAATTTGATTTTTTATTGCAAGGGGTAAACAATTTATCGAATCCAAAATTAGAATTAAAATTTTAAGGTCTAAAATGACTTGTTTTGAAACTTTTTATATTAAGGGTATTTTAGGTAGTTATAAGGTTAAATAGTAAAAAGGGGTATTTTGAAAAGGGTACGGTTGAATTTGGGGTATTTTCAATAATTTCCCCCTGTTGGACCCCAAAAAAGAAAAAAAAAAACCATTTGAATACATTCCCCTTGAATTTGTCTTTCGGCCGTTTGAAGAAAGAACAGGCGCCGCCATCAGAGAACAAATTCCAGCGGAGAATTGGAGATCTAAGCAGCAGTAAAATTGAGATTTCAAGGTTCTACATGGACGGGGAAGTGTTACACAGCGTGGAGTTTTTGCGGAAGAGGCACTGGACATTGCATGTCGATTTGTGGTTGGTCGCAATTATCTATGGCGTTTGGCTGATCAGTATAGGGCCTCGCTTGGATGCCTTAATTCTATGCAGTCTTGTAGCTCTTCAGATTCTGATTTCCCTGTTCGGTCTGGACCTCTAAGGCTTCCTTCGGTACTCCAAGGTTCACTTTACTGTGCCAACAAATTTTCCATAGCACTTTCTCTGTTATTGTTCTGTAAATAGATCTTTCTTTATGTAGTTGTTGAAGAAGTGCTTGAAACTTGTAAGATTCCTCTCCCTGAATTAGCGTTTGGAAAATAATTTCTAAAAGAGCTTTCTCATTTGGACTCTTGAGATCTTATGAGCCCATAGGTGGAAAATTAACATATTTGGTTGTGGCGTTTAGTTATTTTTGCTCCATGTGCAGACGAGTCTAATATTGATTATAACTCTAACATTTGATTATTTGAAAGCTAAGGAATTGGCATATAGCATGATTTTTGGTTCAACATGCATGATTATAGTGTTGCTACATCTTTAGCTAGAGCACTCCAAGTCTAACTTTGCTATATTTAGCCATCAAAATGCTGAATAGGACTAATTGCAATTGTTGCGTGAATCACTTCGAAAAATTCCTACACAATGTCAAAAAAAAATTTGTACACCATGAAATGTACATTTAGAGCTTGTTTGTCTCCCATTATTGGGAGAAAATTAGTGTAATGAATAGTATTTTTTGGAGAATGTGTGGTTGAAAATTAAAGTAATTTTATTGATACGTGTATATAATATTTTAGGGCTTGAATACATTCCCCTTGAATTTATCTTTTGGCCGTCTGAAGAAAGAACAGATACCACCTTCAGAGAACAAATTCCAGCAGAGAATTGGAGATCTAAGCAGCAGTAAAATTCAGATTTCAAGGTTCTACATGGACGGGGAAGTGTTACACAGCGTGGGGTTTTTGGGGAAGAGGCACTGGACATTGCATGTCGATTTGTGGTTGGTCGCAATTATCTATGGCGTTTGGCTGATCAGTATAGGGCCTCGCTTGGATGCCTTAATTCTATGTAGTCTTGTAGCTCTCCAGATTCTGATTTCCCTGTTCGGTCTGGACCTCAAAGGCTTCCTTCGGTACTCCAAGGTTCACTTTACTGTCCCAACAAATTTTCCATAGCACTTACTCTGTTATTGTTCTGTAAATAGATCTTTCTTTATGTAGTTGTTCAAGAAGTGCTTGAAACTTGTAAGGGCCCATTTGGCAGCTGCCTTTACTTCTTGTAGAAGAGATTCCTCTCCCTGAATTAGTTGGAAAATAATTTCTAAAAGAGCTTTCTCATTTGGACTCTTGAGATCTTATGATCCCATAGGTGGAAAATTAACATATTTGGTTGTGGCGTTTTGTTATTTTTGCTCCATGTGCAGACGAGTCTAATATTGATTATAAACCTAACATTTGATTATTTGAAAGCTATGGAATTGGCATATAGCATGATTTTTGGTTCAACATACATGATTATAGTGTTGCTACATCTTTAGCTAGAGCAGTCCAAGTCTAACTTTGCTATATTTAGCCATCAAAATGCTGAATAGGACTAATTAGTTAACAACGCACTTAGTGAAGCTTTGAGAGTAAGAGGGATCATATTATCACAGATTAGTTCTTTTATGTAAATGCAATTCTCAAGTATGCACCCACCTTGATATTTGATGATATTATGTGTTATGGTTGTGTCAAATGTGTATTTGAGTGATATTGGACTAGGGATCTTTTGTTGATGTATAAGCGAGCAACCTTCATGTTATAGTTGGTTCTGGCTATGATATTGGTTCCCATGTGTACGCTATGAGCAGCCTGTCATGTACTCAAGTATGCACATTGTTTAAGAAACCGCGTTTGAGAGGATGCCTCATAGCAAGACAAACAAAAAATCCTTCATTCGTTTGATTTCCATTGTTATCCAAATAGACTTCAATTTTAACTGTTAATGACTGTTGCTTACCTTTGCTGGATACTTTAGAAGAATTTTCGAGGGACCTTTATACTAACTGATGTGAGATGCTCTTATATTGGCTTCTGTGCGGCCGTGCCACATAAGAAAGATTTTATAGTACACTTTGGAGATGAAAGAGGTTGTTATGATAGTAATTTCACTATCGCATGAGATTAAAGTTCAATTTTTGAAGCATTTTTTTTCACAAGCCAGGGGATTTTTTTTTGCGTATCAGTGTGTTCAATGTTCGACTTTAATCAAGAAAAGTTCTTGTTAATTTCTTTCACTTAAATCTTTTTTTCCCTTACCTTAATCTTACTGAACTTCAACTGGAAATGCACAACTATATCTCTTTTATTATTTAAATGCTGCTGGTTTTATTAATCAAATTAACATTGTTTTAAAATATAGGGTCTTATAATCTTACGAGCACTATGATGCAGTGAATCACTGTAAGCAAGCTAGGCATCTTAATTTCTTATCAAGAAGTCGACCTCTCAAAGCACCCAAACTAACCCATATTGCCACCTGAACACGATCTTACAGACGGCACGAAGTTGCATGACAAATTGGGACAAATATATTCTGTGACTGCGCAGGGTGTTATTTTGAAGGCAATAATTTGAACTGTTCCCGTTAATTGTTAATGCTAAATCTAACATGTCAATGATTTTTTATGCTCTTTTTCTGATTGTGGATGGATGCTTCACGAAATTTCCATAATTCTCTTTGGCAGGATATGTAGCTTCTGCTTTAAATTTATCATTGAACTATATTCTAAAAGAATTGTTTTTCAATGATTTATTTGGTAGGTTAATGATATTCACCAGGCAGATGCATGTAAAGTCATTCTGGATAAATTTTCTGGCTCTAAAGGAGTTGTGCCCCTTCAGAAGGTTGAATACTTAATAGCTCTCTATCACTCCATGCATGTGTGCGTTTGCTTGTTTGCCACACTAGTTCATATTGAATAATTGTGTTGTTTTTTCTTGTCTAATTATGTGAACAAATCTATAGTAGAACAGAAGCTTGTCAAATAGGCGAGTGGAAAATTTGTTATATTGGTTCTGACATAGTCTTCATACACATGCCAAGTTGTTATTTGCGGACATAGAGGAAAACGAATGGAATCATTTGTAATTCCTATTGTACAATAGAAAAAATAGGGTACATCCTATTTTTACACAATCTCTACAACAAAATGGTTTATCAATGCTGGAAAGGCTTAGTCAGGTAGGCATTTGATCTCCACGACGTGAGGTGTAAGCATCTAGATAGAACTAAACGGCATGAAGAGAGGAACGAGAGAAATGCGAAGGAAGAGGAAGACCGCGATGAGTAGATGAAAGCTGAGCAGGAAGAAGGCCTTGACAAGGAAGAAGGTCCTTATGAAGCAACGATGAACGTGAATGGGGAAGAAAACCCTGATGGGGAAGAAAGTTCGGCGGAGGAGTAAGGAGGTTTTCACGAAGAAGGGACGGACGCGGAGGAGGAAGAAGGGGTACATCCTATTTTTACACAATCTCTACAACAAAATGGTTTATCAATGCTGGAAAGGCTTAGTTAGGTAGGCATTTGATCTCCACGACATGAGGTGTAAGCATCTAGATAGAACTAAACGCCATGAAGAGAGGAACGAGAGAATTGTGGAGGAAGAAGAAGACCGCGATGAGTAGATAAAAGTTGAGTAGGAAGAAGGCCCTGACGAGGAAGAAGGTCTTGCGGAGGAGGAAGAAGGTCCCTATGAAGAAACGATGAACGTGAATGGGGAGGAAAACCATGACGAGAAAGAAAGTCCGGTGGAGGAGTAAGAAGGTTTTCACGAAGAAGGGACGAATGCGTAGGAGGAAGAAGGGCCTGCCGAGGAAGTGGGGAATGGAGATGAGGAAGGTCTTACTTGCCCAATCTGTTTATTCAATTTCGAACACCCGTGTTCTTGTGGAATCTGTAGAAATCAGTTTTGTGGTATAACCTAACTCTAATATATCTAATTAATTCTTGATATTAATTTTAATTATTCATTTTTTAATACTTAATTGCAGCAAACTCTATACTGAATTGCTGGATTCAGGGCGCTCGTGATTATCAATCCATGCCAATTATTTGTCCAATGTGTAGGACAAGAATTACAGAATTGATCTTGAATGTACAAAATTATTCTTTTGTAATTTTTCGTGTTATTCAAGATTATAATTTCAGATTTTGAAATTCTACACCAATTGTTGCTGAACAATTTTTTTTTGCATGAGGGAGGACTCAATGATCCTAAGAGCCCGTTTGGTGTACATTAAAATGAAGGAATACATTTTTTTGAAGTGATTTGATGTGTAATATGTGGTTGAAAATGAAGGAAAAGTTATTGATGTGATGGAAAATATTATTTTGTTGAAGAATGTGTGGTTGAAAATGAGTAGAAGAATGAAAATGAAAAGATAATGTTTGTCAAACTTAGGCTTATATCCAAATGGTACTGTCTGGTCTTACTCCAATTAGTAATTTAGTAACGAGGTCATAAGTGAAAATCTACTCAAAGTTAACTAGGAGCTCAAAAGAAATTGAATTTTTTTTTTTGGGAAAATCCAATGGCACTCTGTCAAAATTTTTTGGACCTCAAATGTTGAAGTGCGTTTTGAAGTTTAGGGTATCCAAAAAAAAAAAATCCAGGATGCAACAACCCACTTCTTCATCCAACTTCGTTGGTGGGAGCCTTGTTTAATGCTCCCAAATTCTTCGTTCCATGGTGCTATATTCAGTTCTGGCCTCTCAACCTATACTCAAACATCATGCCACTGAATGCAAATAAAATAAAAATTCAAATTCTGCCTTCACTTTCCTAAATAATTTCATTTCTACTAACTTTTGAATTGAAGTACATGTTATGATGCAGTATTAAGCCATACAAGTACATGTATAACCATCGATATTGTCATGTCATGTAACATGTTCTATATGTGTTAAAGAGACTGTCATACTCGATGCCCTACACCAGAAAGTGTGGCACATAGGGCGTCAAGTTTCCAGTTAGACTTGTAACAAACAGAAAATATGTAACAAATTGTAGTGTGTAAGTCGCATGTATACCAGCCCCACTAAGACCAATCAGGAAAGGGGATATCAAAGTGCTCCCGTGTAGTGCAATAGCGGAACAGCGGTAATGGCTGAGAAGAATGTTCAGTCCAATTGATCGTAGGCTTGTCCATGCAACACACTACAATTGTTCAGCAACAATTGGGTTGTCTCCAGAGAGTGCCCTTTATATATAAGGATCATTGGGTCGTCTCCCATGTAAAAACAATTGTTCAGCAGCAATTGGTGCATAATTTTGAAATCTGGAATTATAATCTTAAATAACATGAAAAATTATAGATGGATAATTTTGTACATTCAAGATCAATTCAATAATTCTTGTCATGCACATTGGACAAATCATTTGCATGGATTGATAATCACGAGCGCCCAGAATCCAACAATTCAGTATACAGTTTGCTGCAATTAAATATTAAAAAAATGAATAATTAAAATCAATATCAAGAATTAATTAGATATATTAGAGTTGGATTATACCACAAAACTGATTTCTACAGATTCCGCAAGAACACATGTGTTCGAAATTGAATAAATAGATTGGGCAAGTAGGACCTTCATCATCTCCATTCACAACTTCCACGGCAGAGTCTTCTTCCCCCTCCGCGTTCCTCCTTTCTTCGTGAAAACAATTTTACTCTTCCCCAGGACTTTTCCTCGTAAGGGTTTTCTTCCCCATTTGCGTTCATCATTTTCTTCATGAGGACCTTCTTCCTTCTCCACAGGACCTTCCTCGTCAATGCCTTCTTCCCCCTCAGCTTTCATCTCTTCATCACGGTCTTCTTCCTTCGCATTTCTCTCGTTCCTCTCTTCATGGCGTTGAGTATCCATGTTTTTGAAATGTGCGCTTGAAGTTGGAAATTTGTGCTTTTAATTTCTAGAACCCATTGTTTAGCTAAGGACGTGTTTGGGAAACCCTACGTTTAGGGCATGTTTGGAATATCCTAATATTCAAAACGCACTTCAACATTTGAGGTCCAAAAAATTTTGACAAAGTGCCATTGGATTTTCCCAAAAAAAAAAAAAATTCAATTTCTTTTGAGTTCCTAATTCGTTTCGAGGAAGTTTTCACTTCTGACCTTGTTACTAATTGGAGAAAGACCGGAGAGTGCCCTTTGGATTTAAGGATCATTGAGTCGTCCCCCATGCAATAACAATTGTTTAGCAGTAATTTGTGTAGAATTTCGAAATCTGAAATTACAATCTTGAATAACATGAAAAATTACATATGGATAATTTTGTACATTCAAGATCAATTTAGTAATTCTTGTCCTGCAGATTGGACAAATTATTAGCATGGATTGATAATCACCAGTGCCCAGAATTCAACAATTCAGTATACGGTTTGCTGCAATTAAACTTTAAAAAAATGAATAATTAAAATTAATATCAAGAATTAATTAGATATATATTAGAGTTGAGTTATACCACAAAACTGATTTCTACAGATTCCGCAAGAACACGGGTGTTCGAAATTGAATAAATTGATTGGGCAAGTAGGACATTCCTCATCTCCATTCCCCACTTCCTCGGCAGGGCCTTCTTCTGGAAAACCTTCTTCCTTCTCCTCAGGACTTTCTTCCTCATCAGGGTTTTCTTCTCCTTTAGCGTTCATCGTTTCTTCATGAGGACCTTCCTCCTCCTCCGCAGGACCTTCTTCCTCGTCGGTACCTTCTTCTCCCTCAGCTTTCGTCTCTTCATCGCGGTCTTCTTCTTCCTCCGTATTTCTCTCATTCCTCTGTTCATGGTGTTGAGTATCCATGTTTTTGAAATGTGCGCTTAGAGTTGGAAATGTATGCTTTTAAGTTATAGAACCCTAGGTTTAACTAAGGACGTGTTTGGGAAACCCTAAGTTTAGGGCATGTTTGGGATATCCTAAACATCAAGACGCACTTCAACATTTGAGATCCAAAAATTTTTGACCAAGTGCCATTGAATTTTCCAAAAAAAAAAAAAAAAATTCAATTTCTTTTGAGTTCCTCATTAACTTTGAGGAAATTTTCACTTATGATCTTTTTACTAATTTGAATAAGACCAGAGAGTACCATTTGAATATAAGGATAATTGGGTCGTCCACCATGCAAAAGAAATAGTTTATCAGTAATTGGTGTAGAATTTCAAAATCTGGAATTATAATCTTGAAGTACATGAAAAATTACGGATGGATAATTTTCATCCATCTTGAATCTCTTCAACATCTTCATCTTCATCCACAAATACTATCGCCTCCAATTTCGGTTCGTCTAGAGATAAATTAGCCACTTCAAGCACACCAACATCTTCAAATGTATCAAATGCATCTCCACCGATATCCCACATTTTAGTCTCTCCTTGTGAGTATTGCGCACTCCTCCTTGACAAGAGACGAAGATTGCTATGGACGAAAACCAAATCTTCCGCATGTTTTGGAGTTAGCTTACTTCGTTTAAGAGAGTGCAAAAAGGAATTAGTGCTCCAATTTCTCTCACAACACGATGAAGAAGATGGTTGCCCTAATAATTTTAAGGCATAACTTTGAAGCATAGGTGTGCAAGCACCATAAATAACCCACCAAGTCTTTGGGTCCAAGCGGTAATGACCATGGATGGATTCAAAATCACCAAAGTCATCTTCCATAGTTGAGAATTTGGCATACTCATTCAATATTACGTTCTTCATTTGGATATAAGGATCATTAGGTCGTCCCCCATGCAAACAAAAATTGTTTATCAGCAATTGGTGTAGAATTCCAAAATCTGGAATTATGATCTTGAATTACATGAAAAATTACAGATGTATAATTTTGTACAATCAAGATCAATTCAGTAATTCTAGTCGTGCACATTGGACCAATCATTGGCATGTATTGATAATCACGAGCTCCCAGAATCCAACAATTCAGTATAGAGTTTGCTGCAATTAAATATTAAAAAAATGAATAATTAAAATCAATATCAAGAATTAATTAGATATATTAGAGTTGGGTTATACCACAAAACTGATTTCTACAGATTCGACAAGAACACGGGTGTTCGAAATTGAATAAACAGATTGGGCAAGTAGGACCTTCCTCATCTCCATTCCCCACTTCCTTAGCAGGCCCTTCTTCCTCCTCCGCGTCCGTCCCTTCTTCGTGAAAACCTTCTTACTCCTCCATCGGACTTTCTTCCTCGTTAGGGTTTTGCTCCCCATTCACGTTCATCGTTTCTTCATAAGGACCTTCCTCCTCTACAAGACCTTCCTCGTCAGGGCCTTGTTTTCCCTCAGCTTTCATCTCCTGATCGCGGTTTTCTTCTTCTTCCGCATTTCTCTCGTTCCTCTTTTCATGGCGTTGAGTATCCATGTTTTTGAAATGTGCTATTGTGGTTGGAAATGTGTTCTTTTAATTTGTAG